TTATCACAGAGATGTTATCTAGATCATGTAGTTTCATCATGACTATAGGTTTTCCGACAAGATTTAATAGGGTCATCTAATAATCTTGCTTGATAAAAATGTTGAAAAACAAAATATTTTTGATAACGTATCGAACTATCGTTTGTATGATTTTTGACATTTATGCAATTTATCATCGACCTGCATGGAGAGAAGACTCACCAAAAAAATTACGGTGATCGTACCGTTAAACAAGGACATCTATAGCGTATTACTGATTTATATGCAGAAACTTTATTATTGACGCAGCTGTCATGGAGAATTGGCTCTGCGAGCCAATTTCGCCATTTGCCGCTATCAATCGTTGTTCCGTGCCGTTATCAGGTCGTGAGAGATGGAGAGAGGGATAGAGTGATAAAGAGCGAATTAAAAGGGACAAGAGTAGGCCCGAGAGGATGTTCCTTGAGTAACGGGAAATGAAAATATTCCAGTTATTTTTATATCTACTCCAATATTTACAATAAAACAAACTCAAAGTTATTGCCTAGATATCTTTTATTTTTTATAAAGTGTCCTGTAATTGATAATTAGAATGCTCGATAGGCATACGATCAGTCTCGTATTGCGTGAATATAGCAATGATAAGCTATGATTATTTACATTACAGAAAAAGAATAATAATTTAACCAACTGACAATTTTTATATTTTTCAATGTGTAATGGGAAATTTTAGGGTGCTGTTGGTAAAATTTACTACGATCTAACCATACTTTCTATAAGTAATCAATTTATGTCTCGACATTATGTTGTTTTACCATAATTTTTACTGGTACAATCTCGATAATTTTATTAGAAACTTCTTTCTGTATAGAGTAAAATATAATTTAACCTTAAATAGATAATGATACTCTTTATGATTATCGGCTTATTAGGTTGATATTTTTTTTCTTAAAATATTATAGAAAGTATATGAAATACATTTTCTTTTTCATATAAAAATGATAATCAATAAAACATTGTATTGAAATATATAAACGTAAATAAGTATGCGAGTTGAGATTGAATGGTGATGACGTCATTATTTTTAAAATTAAAACATTTTATCATTAAAAAAGATGTTGTATCTTACTAAATTTACTAATAGGTTTTGGTCATTAGCATTGTGGTTGTTGAGGAACGTGTAGGTTTTACAGTTGGTAATAGTAAAGGAGCTATTGATCTTATCGACATGGTCGTTTACAGAGATATAGATTTTGAGGTTATTTTTATTGAAGAAGCTATCATTTTAATTGTTATCGAAGTTGCTTTTAAAGTGTGTTTAGATTTCACGGTTCCGATTGATGGCCAACTTTTATTATTATCACAGTGGTTGTATACCAACACGGTTTTACAGATGTAATCGTTGAAGGAAATATTGGATTTTCTGCTGAAGTCAAATAATACGAGGTCTTTTGAATGCTGAAAATGAATTACAGAAACTGCCATTTTAGAATCTTAACAAGACATTTAAATATATAAAAAATTTTTCTAAATAGATACTTATTTAAAACTGGTTGGCCAGCAAGTAAAACCCATTTCTGAATTCTGGTAATAGAATTATGTCAGTTCCAAAATTGTTTGAATAAACAGGTTCAGTAAAAAGATATGAAACAGTAATTGAGAAGCTAAGGGCAGTAATAGTCGTAAAAATTGCAAATAAAATGTTTATATTGAAAATTTTATTTTTATTCAATTGAAAATAAAAAAATTAATATCGATCACATAATTATTACGAAAATTTATTTACAAAAAATATTCCATAATCTAGGTCATATTTGAACAATAATTTTCTTTTAAAGTCAATATGTAATATATATATATATATATATATTTTTTTTTTCGCATCTTCACTCGGTGAGAAAAACATTCGTTCAAAATTGAAACGGTTACACGCAATTAATTTATTAATTTCGTTACTCCTTTCACTAAAAATTATTTTTTCATATAATATCTATTATAATTAAAACTTTTGGTAATATTAGTTACCAATTAATATTAGAGGTAAGACTATACAAAAATTATATTTCTGATTTCAGAAAATGTTAATGCGATTGATAATAAAAATCGGACCGTTGCTGGACTCTTTCGGATCTGATGCTCGAAGTTAATGCTAAACCCCCTTAGACCTTAATAAAAGTTTGGCTGTAGCTTAATGAAACGTCTGCATGGGGCAACGCGTCACGCGTATGACTCTTTCTTATTGGAATAATTAACAATAAGGAGTAATTAAAATAATAAACCTATATAGATCATTGCTGACGATCAAAAATAAGGAATGTAACGTTCCAGCCAGCTTCATGTGAAGATATTGTTGAGAGCGATCAATAACCTGAAACCCAAGAACATTATAAAACTCCGCGTAATAGCGAAAAGCCTGTTGTCGAGTAACTAACAGTAGAAAGAGAGAAAATGACTCTCGAGCACGCGCTCGAAATGGACGATTTGGGGAAACCCTAACGAGCAAGCGTTGCGGGCGCCGAAGCCCGAGGAAGGTCCGGGCCTGCACATTTGATAAGAACATGGCGTAGTTTACGTGTACCCTGCGTGCGTCATGTACTCGTCACCCGAGAACTTGACCTTAAATTGTTGTTCTTCTTTTACCTTTTATTTATGACCACGTATATTGGGCGGATAGGAAGCGAACGATGTTACGGAACAGACATTGATATATGTGTGCAAAATTCCGAAAACCGAAATTTCGGGTCGTCTCTTTCCAATTGTTTGCGGCCAAATTAATTAGGTTCGTAAAAATAAGACAAACGCTTTCTAGCAAAAACGTATTTGTCTCTTGGATATTGCAGGTCAGTTAGGAATGGAACAGGTCAATCGGGAGGCTGAGCCATGGACCGGCAGACTAGCGAGCGGGAGAGCTGGCGAAGACAGAAAAGAGCAAGAAGGAGAGAAGAAAGCGGTGCGTGAGCGCTCGGTCTTAAGGGCCCGATGAAGGGGTAGCCGGACAATGCAATTGCGGTAGCGCTCAAATAGCACGGCAACTCAGCTCTAGCACAGGAGAGAAGAGGTCGTTTTATGCAAATAAAAGTCTCGTGCACAGACATTTATTCGACCAAGTGACATATACTAAGCTAGCTCATTCTCCAAAGAAAATTTTGGGTTCCAACTTTTGAGGTCATGTATCCTATCTGAGCAAAAAGTGAACCTAAAAATTCGATCTTTCTTTTATAATCTAATGATCGATTGTTTTTGTTATGTTACAAAAATACCAGGCCTCTCCTAGTAGTTCATTATAATCTAGTTATAGTTTGCACGATCTTCAAAAAATATGGCTACCTAAAATCAGTTGATTTCTTTGAAAGAGCCTGAAATATGTTATTGTTATTTTCGAAGGAATAATTTTGATTTTTTGTATCTAGCTAAAAATGACCGCACTAATTTAATCCAAATCTGATGGAAATACATATTGTAATAAGTAGTATTATAGTCATCTTTAAAATAAATCAGATAATATCAAATAAAATAATTCTGAACTATATTATTTCGTTATTATATTTTAACCACTAAATCGCACCTTCGGCGTTAGTTTTAAGCTCTTTTGCAAAAAATATTGTCCTCCACTGGTGCCAAAAAGCTTTTCGTCGAAACAAGAAGTTTACAGTATTAGCCGAAGACGAGCGTTTGTATCGAGTACGAGTATTATTTTATTTTATTTTCAATCTGTCTTTCGACAATAAGTAAATGATATTACTACAATGCTATTTTCTAATTACAAAATTTACATTACATAAAGGTACTTCATCATTGATCCAAACTAATAACTTTATTTTACAGAGCTAAATTATACATGAATAAATGGTGATTTATGTTTTTAAATCTTGATATTCTTAGTATTGCGTGCATTAAATTTTTCGCTAAACAGTTAGGATGTTCTATTAGTTATATGGTGTACCTTTTATAAGCAATTTCTGCTTCTTTTTTAACAGTCCATATAATAACGTTCTTTCTGATTGTTTCGTTTGTAACAAACCATGGTGCATTCGTGATAGATTTTAAGGCTTTATTTTGGAATTTTTCAATGATATCAATGTTTGATTTTATAGCTATATTCCAAAGTTGAATACCATATATTCATCCTGGCTTAAGTATGCTCTTGTATATTAATAGTTTATTTATAATAAGCATTTTATATTAGAGGTGGTTTTTGTATTTAAGTCAGTTGTTAATATAGCTATATCATCTGCGTAAATGGCAATATTTATGTTTTCCATAATTGGAAGATCATGGGTGTAGATTAAACATAACATAGCGCCAATAACACTACCTTGACAAACATCGACTTTTATTAGATAAAGTTTTGAGGTATCATTTATACCTTAAAAGTTCTTTGATTTGGGTATGATTTTAAGTGAAGATAGAGATTTTTCTTGGTACGATATTATTAAGTTTATACAAAGGCCTTCGTGCCAGACTTAATCAAAAGATTGAGCTATATCAAGAAATACGGTATTACAATATTGGTTTTTTTCGTAAGTATTTTTTATTTTAACGGTGACTGTTAATTTGTTCTAATGTCGCGTGGTTATTACGAAAACCGAATAGGAGTTCAGTTATTATATTTTGTTTCAAAAATACTATATTTAATCTTTTGATTATTATTTTTTCACATACTTTGGAAAGTATAGGAAGTACGTTGATAGGTCTACGTATATGATGAAACAAGCTCGATAGTCTATTTTCTATCACGATTGGTCTTTTATTTAGCACTCTTTTCCATTTTGTTGTTTCTTCCCTTGTTTTCTCTGTATAATTTCTAATTTATCTTATTTGCACTAATTGTTTATTTGCAGCCATATTCGCTGGATTTAATTTAAATATGTCAGTATGTATGTTTTTTGCTTGTTATTATTTAAACTATGTGAAAATTTTACTTATAAATGTTTGGATTTTCAAGAGCGTTTATTAAGCATATGTACAGAACGAGCTCAACAGAATGACTGAATTATTTTATAACAGAAATTGATTTCGATTCAGTTTTCAACATGACATTTAACATTGCGTGGCCAATCACATACTTCTTTTTTTGGATTAAAGAATAAATTTCCTGGACATTTGCACAAATAAGGTATACCGTATGTGCAATGATAAAAACTTTGACAATCTTTTGGATTTGAAAAAAAAAAATTATCTTCCGGCCCTTCTTGTGGGGGACAATATACTGGATATTTCCCAAATGGATCAGGTGCGACATTTTTGCAACCATCGGAAGGCAAAACAGTTGTGGGTTTAGTAGAGGGAGTTGTGGGTTTAGTAGAGGGAGTTGTGGGTTCAGTAGAGGGAGTTGTGGGTTCAGTAGAGGGAGTTGTGGGTTTAGTAAAGGGAGTTGTGGGTTCGGGTTCAGTAGAGAGAGTTGTTGGTTTAGTAGAGGGAGTTGTGGGTTTAGTAGAGGGAGTTATGGGTTCAGTAGAGGGAGTTGTAGGTTCAGTAGAGGGTTCAGTAGAGAGAGTTGTGGGCTCGATAGTAGAAGTTATAGCTTGAGTAGATGTGGTAAATTTGGGAATGAACGTAGTCGTTTCATTGGTTATGAAAGACTGACATCCAGCAGCCCATTTACAATCGCAAGTTTTTAGTTTCGCATTGAAATGCAAGTCAATAGGACATGATAGCAACTGTAGTTCACCGTCAACACATTGAAAAAAAGTTGAACAATTATCGGGATTAGGTAGCAGCACATTTGCTACATCATTCTTTTCCGGACATTTAACAATGCTACTTTCCGTTTTTTCGCTTATATCAACTAAATTAGTGGACACACAGATAGTTGGTTGTTGGGGTGGTACAGTTGTCGGTAGCTGATCTTGGATCTCTCTGCTTTTGAAGTAATTATTTAATAAAATTATAATTAGAGCTGTTAATGTGATTAGCACAAGAAGAATAACGGCTGTAAAAGAAACATGGCAAATCATTCATTCCATATCGATTTCGTGTGTTGAGATGTAGAAATTTAAAAATAAATCATACATACGAATAATGATTATCAATCTCTTCTTCGATTTTCTGCGCTCTGGAATTTCGTAACGGTTATTCATTTTTAACTGTAGAGGGTATATTCAGGAACAGACCATTTATTTAATCATTATTTTTAAAACTTCCTTTTTAAAACTTTGGTTGTAATAATGATCATCAACACAAATTTGTGATTAACTTTAATTATCTTTTACATACAATGGTTACATTATTGCGTATTTTTGATACACTAAAACTGATACTCGTTATTACATTTCATAGATTTATACTGACGGAATGGTATAAGTAACTCGATCGATTATTTGTTTTCCTAATCTCAGTTCGATCAGATAATTATTTAGGCGTAAAATATACGAGCTAAGAGTGATAAAAAGTAGATAAATTTGAAGTAAGTATTTTTTTGTGTTCATTCGTACTTGCCGAATGAAAGTTATACTTTGTGTTTTTTTTTTCATACATTTTTTCTTAGTCATCAATTCGTGTTATTTTGTGAACCGCACATATCCACACTGCTGCTCTAAAGTTATTTGAAATTTTGTTCTGGTAATGCTTAATTTTTGAAAATAATGGAATCTATCTTTTATTATTTAATTCAAATGACTGAATAACTCACCTATCTGCAGGATTTAAATTGTAACAAACAAATTTTCCAGGAGTAATTATTACCGTTTCAAACGTTTATTTACGTGATCTTTCAGGTTGCTCTATACTGTAAAACTCAGTTTCAAGTCAGGCTTGTAAAAAACAGTCTTTTCTAAATTTTACAGTTTTACGTTACATACATTATTTAGAAAGATTTAGTTCTTACAAAAGAAAATAGGTCTGAAAGAAAGACTACTTTATTTGTAATCCGATAGACGATCAAAAGGTAACTTAGAAATCACTTGTTACCAATTCAATATGGAAAGTGGAAAGCAAGTGGTTTTAAATTATAACATTGAGTAAGATCCGCGCAAGTTTAATTTAATTTTTATAAACAATGGATATAGATTTGATAGTAGAAATTTTTCTATTAGATATTATGGGTATTACTATGGGTAATACAAAAAACCTTTGGCAGATGGAGAAATTGTTTTAAATGCAACCCACTTATTTATGTAGTATCGCAAAGAATATCATTAAAACATTGATGAAACAAATGTCCTCTGGTCAGTACTTAAAATTTTTTATATAGAGCAAAACGTATTTGTTTTATCAATGTTTTAATGACGTTTTAGTAATGTTTCCAAAAATGTTGCCAAAATATTGTAGAAATGTTTCAGCATAAATTTCGTTGTCTAAATTAAATTCTTTGTAATGCTTTAGAAACGTTGCCTATATGTTACAAATAGGTTTTCCATAAAAAATCGACATAAAATAATACATCGAGGTATTTTACATCAATTTATACTCAATCAATTAAATAAATTAAAAATATACGTAGAACAATTTGTAGGCATTGAAAAGATAATAAGTTCATATTCTTAATGGACTACGACACATTTATTTATAGGATATATAAATTTATTGAATATCATTATTGTAAAGTTTAATTTTGGATAGACATCATCAACAATGAAGAGAATTAGAAATTAATATTTTATATGAGATACTGTGAATTGATTTTGGCACATTCAGAAACGTTAATTTAGTTAAAAAATATTATAAATATAAACAAACTCTTCAAATGTTACAGATGGACTAAAAAAACAATTAAAAAACAGTTTAAATGATATATCCGTTGGAGATATCATACGAAAAGCTTGAAATCACAGACTAATATAGTAAAAAATAAAAAAATCAATTGCCAGCACAGTTGAAAGTTCTACTTATACATATTAGAAATCCTTAATAAACGAAAAAATCTATTAGTTTATTATCTATTTAGTTTATTTACATAAATAAATGCCGATGCGTTATTAGCTAAATGTATGTGAAATGACAGAATATATTTTATTTAAATAATTACTTCAATATTAGTGAAATATATGACGGAAACCCACATTTTCTGGACAAGATAAATCTTGGTCTTTAATGTTGCATACAAAATGTGATATTTGGTAACGTGATTGATTGATTGCTATTTCCTGCAATAGATGAATAGTACATACTTAAGAATATTGCACATATAATTAAAACTGTTATCTCGGAATCATAATTTGTAACAAATTAAAAATTAATAATGGTAAAAAAACTTATAGATAGTGACAGTAAGGTGACAATATAATTCATTTACAAATTCTTTATTATGACGGACACGTAATGACAAGGTGAGGCATTTAACTTATCGATTATATAACTTTATTATTGCAAGTAGAAAATTTGGTAAGGATGTGGGTGAATAACTTGACAGTGTTAAATATAACTATAAATGATATTTCAATTAGTGTAAACCTTAATTAGTTTGCTTCAACATAAATTGTCATTTTGATTATTCGATTAGCAATACAAAGTTTCAATTATTCTGCAAATTGCAATTATCTGGTTGACAAAAGTACACATTTACAATGATTCGTGTACATTTACAAAATTCGTGATTATGATGAAAATATAAGATAGAAAATATGAGAATTAGAATGGATTTTACTTAAGTGCATAATTGCAGTAAAAATATATTATTCAATTCTGATCGTTATACAATTCGATAAATAAAATTAAAAAAACATTTAATAATGCTTGTAACTGGCAAATTTTATTTTTATTCATGGTTCGATGACGCAATGAGCGTTTATTGGCCAATCACACCAGCTTTTCTCGGGATTGAAATGTAGTCCTTCAGGACAATGTTGGAGATGTGGGTAACCATAAGCACATTGGTAAAAAGTGTTGCAGTCTTTAGGGTTTGGTATCAGTATGTTCTCATCTAAGCTTTGTTGTGCAGGACAAACTGGCTCTTCTGAAAGTTCTCCACAAATAGCAAGTTTTGGATCAACGCATTCAAAGGTCTTAACGTCAAAGTAAAGTGGTCTAGGACAAACAACCATTTCAGGAACGTAGTCACGACAAATGTAGAATTTTCGACAATTTTCTGGATCAGCTATGCGTTCATTTCCTGTGCCTTCTTGTGAACATTCAGGCACAAAGTGTGTATATGTACTGGCGATAAGCCCAATAAAGACGGTGATAAATATCGCTATAAATATGTCATTAGTTAATATGTGCTTTTTTATTAAGCATTAATTAAATAACTTATATAAGTTAATAGAGCATTTAATTAAAAAAAAATTGGTAGACACAGAAAATATAATTGTCTAGATTAAATTAAAAATTATTTTGAACCTTAATTTATAATAATTCCATTATTGATGTTATTTACCTTATATCATCTATATAACGTATATAAATTATATATATTATATTATGCAGTTTCTCTGGGACTAGGTTTTAAGTGTATAGAATAACAAAATCAATAATAATAATTTATAGAATTTCTTATAAAAAAAAAAACTATTTATCTAAGATATGACTTTTTATAAATACTAATTGGAGCTTACGTTACGAATATATAGTCAACTGATGTAATCGTGATACAAAAAATAAAGTTTTTAAAATCTCCTTTAAAACACGTTCTATAACACAAATAGTCAGTGATTACATCCTCGTGTGGAGTATGTAAAAATTTTAATATCAGTATATTATTTTTTATAAGAATCGAAGTATAAGTATAAATATATATTATTCATAAATACTTAAAGAAAATTACCTTTCATGATGGTTTATTGTTGGATTCCTTACCACTATTCACAAACTATTATGTACAACATTATCTAGCTTATATATATATTTTGCAATCAAAAATTTGACGACGACCCTACTATGAAATTCTGTATCTATATCGCGCTTGATAACATTCGATATAATCATTTATTATTTTGCTTGATTGATTGGCTTTTAATCGAATATCATCGGTACTAACTTGATAATAATTTAATATTCTTGTTATCAATTATTGAAATTTTATTGATATATATGAATGTAACATAAATTAAATGCAGATATGAAATAATTTCAGTGAAGTATTTGAATAAAATGCCGAAATATGATGGTTTTTATGTTTGGACATTTTCATTTTATATTTGCAATAATTTTACAATATTTAATTCACAAATAAGTGATCCTATTGTTTTTATATTATTGCATTATTATTTAAATATATTTAAATATAGTTATTATTTAAATATAGTTTTGTTACCTCGACGAAATAATCTTCAATAAATCAACTCATTCTTTTCAAAATAAACAATTAGCAATTATTGTTTTGAAAGATTTGTGAATAGATAAATTGACGACATTATTAATAGTTAATGTTATATTGTGGTTTCGCAGCGCTGAAAGAATTAACATTTTATTCTTATCAGTTTATATCAATCCTGAATACTGCTAAATTATATCGAAAAGAATTGGATGATTTGAATTCATTTGATATAAAACTAATATACTAGTTGATTACTTCATAATGAAATTGTTTTGAATTTCACGTTAACTGATATGTAAATTGTTAAAAAGGAAAAAGGTAATTCTTTCACCATTTGAAGTAAAAATTTGACATTAACTTATCTAGTCAATACTTAAAACTAATTCAAAGTAAAAATGAATATCAGTACAGTACGACCTGGATATGCGAGTTTCGAAAGAATCCTCGACTTTAGTTAATTGGATATCTATTATAATTGAAACTTCAAACTGTCATTTGAAGGCTTTCTGATATTGATGTGATCAGGCCATCAATTTATTAAAAACATTATAGTATTTTGAAAACATATAATTTATGTTAACAAAATTTAATAATATTCAAGTATGATAAATTGTTGATTTGATAAATGTTCCAAATAGTTATTTTATATATTTTTTTCTACTATTTTGTATATCATCTTAGTAGTATCAATATGAAACAATTACTTATTAAATTTATGGATACAATTTACAGTTAGCGCTCTTCGGCCAATCACATATTTTCAACTTTTCATTGAAATGTAATTGTTTCGGACATTTCTGAAGTATTGGTGTACCCCAAACACATTGATAAAAACTATTGCAATCTAATGGGTTTGGTAATAGTACGTTATCTGCAGGATCTTTTTGCATAGGACAATGGACAGATGAAGTTGGATTATTTAAAATTCGTATTGTCTTCTCGGCGCAGACAGCTTCAGCCGCGTCAAGACAGGTAAGTGTTATAACGTCAAAATACTGATTAGGAGGACAAAATGCTGAATATGGTACATTGTCCTTGCAATAATAAAACTTTCCACAATCTTCAGAGTCAGGTATAGCTTCGTTGTCATAGCCGTGTATTGGACAGCGCGGTACGGCCGCAAATGCCATAGAGATTACGCCAAAAAATATAATTTCGAACACCGCTAGAAAATTATTATTTAATAATTGAAAAATATACAATATTTTATTACAGGGATGTTTTCCGGATAATTGTTTAAATTTAATATGTAGTTATACAAAAGACATAGTAATGAAAAGCTATTTAAAATTGACATCAAGAAAATAAATTACCATTCATATTCTCTTCTTGTGCTTACTAACTGTACAAGTATTCAAAAATTTATATAGAATTTTATTGACTTGCTTTTTTGAACAGATTTATATATACACAATAAACAATTGCAAAAATCCTCCTTATATACTAACATGACTTATACTAAATTTGGTTAATCTTTAGATAATCCGAGAATAACAATTTGCTAATCGACTACTCTTTTCATATTGACTCAAAATTATCAATCTATGTTATCTCAATTCATTACTCACAAATCTTTCCTTGATGATATCTATTAGCAACATATATTTGCAATATAAGAGGTCTATGAGTACATTCAAAAATTATAAAAATAACACAGGTATACAAATAATAGGTCATTTTTTGTATCACAAGCGAACTATATTATTCCCGAAGGAATTGGGTGCGCTAAATCCAAATCTGGCCTTAGAATTGTTTTATCACGTCAGGTTTTTGAGATATCCTAATCTAAAAGTGCAAAAAACACTGTTTATTCACATGTTTGAGGTTATGTAGCATCGTAAATAATTATTTTCACAGCAGACTATTCAAAGCACCTTAAAGTACAGATCTTCCCCTTTCAAATGCCGTTGAGTCTGCTTAAATATCTTTTTTTCACCAAGATATCGCATTTCGAAATATATATATTAATGAATTTCTCAAAATTAACACTTTGAAGCAAATATTTTTCCATTAACTTGTTTTGCATGAAGAATTTTACTCGAGGATTTTTTAGGTCACTGAATGCGAATTTGCAACACAATTTCGTTTTTTCAAAATCCATATTTCTAGAACATAATTTATGATTTGAAAAATTTTTCATTCGACCATTTTGAATTCGCCATCTTGGATTTTAATAAAAATGCGATATCTTTACGAAAAAAAAGATATTTAGGCAAACTCAACGGCATTTGAGAGGGGAAGGTTTATACTGTAAGACGCTTTGAATAGTTTACTGTGAAAACATTTATTTACGATACTATATAACCTCAAACATGTCAAAAAGCAGTGTTTTTTGTACTTTTAGATTAGGATATCTTAAACACTTGATGTGATGGAACAGTTTTGAGGCTATATTTGAATTCAGCGCACCAAAATCCTTCGGTAATACTATAGCTCATATTAGCATTAAATTTTTCAGTCTGAAAGGATTGTTCGTGAATGTATGTGTAGTTTACGAAGGGATATGAAATAATAAATGCGTAGTTAGGCCAATATGATCGATACATTATAGGCCTAAAAAATTAGGAAAAAACTCCACAAGGTTCGGTTAGGTTTGATCTTGCGTGCAAACTATGTTTGTATGTAAACGCAAACGAAAACCGCCTAAATGGAGAAAAACCCTTGGTTGATTTACATTGATAAAATACAAACTGATATTGTGATAATATGCGATCATGCGTTCAATCGTTGTGTAAAGAAATAAAAACGTGTTATGATTAATTGATTACAATTGATACTTAAAGGTATGCGTATATATGTCGGATGTAAAAGAAATTAAAATTGGTTAATTTGTGGCTAACCAACCAAATGATATGTAGATTAAAACACGTGGTGTTGTGATGTCGATTGACTACTTTGTGGCTAGTCGACCAATATAATGCACGTGATGTGAATTGATAGTTTTTTAGTCGCCGTGGACTTGATTAACTATTTTGTGGCTAGTCAACCAATGATACGTATAAGTGTTTGTGTAAATTGTGTTTGTGTTACCTGAGTTCGAGGAGGGTTTGTCTCGCGGCGATTGCTAAAATAGCACGACTCAAACAAAGAGAACTGATTGGAAGAGTTCTTTAGAAACTAGAATAAATACGCGTCTATTAAATACTATTTAATTGAAACTAATTAAGCTTAACTATACTACATTGACAAATTAAATGAGTTAAAGAAATTCTGTTTAACGAATATAGAATTCAAAATGTGCGATTAGTTCGGACGAATGATTTATACTGCCCTGACCTCCGCAACTAACCGATAACGCGCCGCCACCCGAAACGCATACTCTCCCGTACTCTCCTTAAATAAGCAAGAAAGAAAAGTCATATAGTTAGATCGTAGTTAGGCATGCTGAGTAAGTATATCGAGAAAGAAGAAGAGAAAAGAGAGAGAAAGAAATAGTACGTGGCCACTAGGAGAGAGGAGAAAGCGCGACTATATTACAACCTTATACTTACCCTTTACTATATAGGAAATACTTTCGTCTTTCGACGAAACAGCTCACTTGTGATACAAAATCTTGTATGCCTGTATTATTAGCTTACCTTCAAAAAGTAATAGGTCTAAAATTGGATGCAAATAATATAATAAAAAAATTAAAATATGACTACTCATGATTTTATCATAAATTATAAAAATTATTCGGTCTTATGAGCTCATACCAAAAATTTAAACGATAAAATAAATTACTATCATTTCTTTAGCTTACCGTAGTTCATGAGATTCTAAATAAAATTTTAAAAGTTTGTCGACGTTTTATTCTTACTGTTGGATTAGACTCCCCACTGAGGGTCTAACAGTATTCCTCATTGAGTAAGGATAAAACGTCTAATAACTTTTGAAATCTCATTTATAATGTCATGAACAACAGCAAGCTAAATGAGTGATAGTATTTCATTTAATTATCTGAATTGTTTAGATGTGCTCGTAAGATTAATTTTTGTAATTTACAATTAAATGATGAGCTGTTATATTTTAATTTTTAAAACTTGGTCTTCGGTTGTAAAAATTGCTGAGGGCTCATTTTTTTAAAAGAAATGAGCAAGAACCTCTTGTATGCTTGGTTGCGCAGCTTCTAACTGTTATAGGGGTCTGAGAAGAAATAGTGTATAGAAGAAAAAGAAATACTGTTGGATCCTGACTGAGGAGCTCAAACGAACAGTAAGGATGATATATCTACTAACTTTAGAAATCTATACATTTTATTTATATAGATTTTTTTATTATGAAATGAGAAGCATAACTAATACATACATTGATAGCAACTGCAAAAATCTGAAAGATTAAGCAGTAGTACATATCATCGACGTCCCGTTATTGTGCATATTTGACAGGTGGAATCGGCTCTTCAGGATGTTCTGATCTAGTGAAACCGATTATTCGCGACTCGTGTATTCAACATAAGTCGGATTAATACTGATTAGTGTCTTTATATCAATGGAAAATGAAATCTCGAAGGACGCATTTCAAATATAGGAAAACCATTCTCGGAAGTAAAATAGCTTATATAATCATGAATATTAGATATTAGCTCGTTTTAATTCTAATGTTAAGTACTATAAATGGTGTGACAGTATAGTACATTGCGATACCAGTGCGGGAAAGTAGATTCTGGTTTCGTGGAGTATTTACGTCCAAATATCATTATCAACATGTATTTTATGGTATTTTTTGATACGACATATCTAAGGTTCGATTTTTAACGCTCGTTTTTCGCTAAGCGTGCGAGAAAGAAGTACTTTGCGCACGGAATCTCGAAATAGTACATTACGACACAAGTGCAGGAAAGTAGATTCTTGTCTCGTATGGCGTTTACCCCCGAGCGAAGCGAGGGTGGAATGGTATACAAGACGAGAAACTCTTTCTCGAACATGTGCCGTACCGTATTTGTTGATACGACGTGTGGAAAATGCGATTTTCAACGCACGTTTCCTGCCGAGCGTAGGTGAAAGACACTTTGCGCACGGAGTATCGAAATATACTATTCGATATTAGTTGGAGAAAGGGTACATGTGTAACATGATTCAAGTATGTACTCGCTTCGCTCGGGTGTAAAGATTTATAGGAAGCTCAAATCTGTATCAATGAAAATTAGAATCATTTTCTTGCGATATCAGCGTCTATGATAGTATAAACCCGTCAAAACCATGTTGGTCTTGACGAATGAATCTGGTGAAACGTTCGACTCTGCCGTTCTAGTTTAATTAATGTCTGCGATATTTCCGATCATTTCTAATACAATCTCTCTTATACGACCTGATGCAAATACTTGATGAAATAGTTTCCTCTAATTAGAGTTCATTATTAGAGAAATAAGTACTTCGATAATTCATATCGTTCTGTAATATAGAATAAAATTTTCAATTGTGATGCAGTCCTTCTATAAATTAAAATAAAATTTATTTACGCTAGTAAAGTATTATGTTTTAATTTATTATTAGAGATACTATTTGAGATACGTATACAATTGTGTGGTATAACATATATCAATGATAGAACAATAATATACTGGTAGAGTGCAATATTTTGATTATTATTGAAAACATTGTTTCTATTATATTTGATGTTTAACATTTAACTTTATTAGGCCAATCACACACACTCAATACAGGATTGAAATGTAAGTTATCTGGACAAATATACAAATGAGGTTTACCGTATATACATTTATAAAAACTGTGACAATCTTTTGGATTCGGAAACAAGTATTTCTTGATGGGCCACTGCGATGGAGGACATTTAAAGGGATATTCTTCAATTGATGGTTTAATAGTATCAGCTTTCTGAGTGGTTGTTGATATTGGTTTTGGTACCGTGGGTGTTGACGTAGGTTTCATGGTGGTAATTGTTGAAGGAGAAGGTTTTACAGTTGTGATCGTAGAAGAAGGTATTTCAGTTGTCGGAATCTTAACAGCGCAAGATGCCGTTTCAGAATCTTCACAAGATAACTTAAATGCATCAAAAAGTTTGTCAGATGGACACTTATTTAAAACTGCCGAATGTGCTTCACATGTCCAGTAAGTAGAACACATTTCTGGATTCGGTAGTAAAACAATTTCATCAATTCCAACATCTGTTGAACAGTCAGGTTCAGTAAAATGACACAAAACAGTAGCTAAGAAGCTAATGAAACTGAAAATAGTAGGAACTGGAAAAAATATATTTGTATAAAATTATAGTTCAATATTTTAATAAAATTGGAAATTGAAAAATTAAAATCGAACATATAATTATTATAAGATTATATTAACAGAAGTTATCTATGATCTAGACTACTAATTCATAATTTTCCTTCAAAGTCAATATGCGAATAGGTCATAAAATTATTAATAGAGAAATTTAACATGGACAATGTATTTATTAATCCAATCAGACCTTCACATAAGTGATAGAACGTTCAAATTTCATCATAAATATCGAAAATCGATTTAAAATAAAATAAAATAAAATATACTACCTCTCATGGTTCACAATATTTTAATTAACCACAAATAAATATCTATTAATTATTCTTATTATATATTTCCTGACAGATATTGAACGCTACTGTTCTGATAGGATTTATAAGTCATACTGTATTTACTAATGTGTTAACGTTGCGTACTATCATGACAGTCAATTTATGCGATTAAATACTTTTTTAGTGCTTTCACTAAATGCTTGATAATTACGTAAGCTCCGCGAACTTTTGCGCATAATACTTATTATATACTGATAAATTTATGATTCATAAATAATGCTCTGAGAAAGAATCACATCTGTCGGATAGCAAATATACCTTATCATTCATTTATCACTCAGTTTGAAAGGTTATTTTGTATTCACTAAAAATTTGATATTCAACGTAAATTACATTATGAATCCTTTCCAAAAATGTTCGAAATCTATAATTTTAGGAATTTATAACTATTAAGAATTAGGAATATAGACTTTTAAAATAATCCACGGACAACATTTATTTTAATATTCTAGTTGTACTGCGTAAACTTATAAACAATTTAGGCAATTTAATAAATAAGTACGAATGCAAAAAAATTCTAATAAAAATTTAAAAGTCTAATGAACCATGAAACCTTCATTAATTCTGGAGAAAATGTATTGATACTCATCATAATTTAATATAACAATGAAAAAACCAAATTATATGAAATTATTAAAATATGAACTTGAATAACCTAAGCATACTAGGAAAATTTTAGTTCAGAGTACAGTTTGAAAAACTATATTATAAATAGTCAAACTGTCAAGATTAAAAATTTTAAATTAAAACAGTCTTTATATAAATATGGAGATTTTAATAATCTACGCGATCAAGATTTTAATTTAAAAAAATCTAATAATAGATAAAGAATAAGAAAATCCAAGTTTGATCAATAGTGTATGTACCATAATCAGTTTTATTCTAACATATTTTATTCTAACGCATAACGAGTAAATTACCATTACGTCCCGAGTTCTATCTTCATTAGTTCATAACATAAAATGGATGGCTAATGATTTATTTGGACTTGTTTCCTTAAAAATGAAAGCAAATTAAAAGTGTAAATTAATATTTTATATAAATATTTATGAATGAGTTGAGGTGATAAGGTCACCCAAAAATATGATAAAATTATCTTAGATGACGTTGTGCTTGATCGCTGTCGGCAAATAAGGAAAGAAAATATCTTTTAAAAGATGTTTTCTTTCCTTAAATGTCTAAACCGATCGAGCACAGCGTCAGCTACGATAAAACTAAGGAAGACGAGAACAGCGATCAAAAATATTACAGGATTGTTGGGTTGAGATGCCATAAAATTCATCTGGTAAAGATGATGATAAAGTAATAACTGATACATCATCGCAACGGCGTTTATAGAAATTTAATTTTCAGCAAGTCGACAAACGCTTGACGAGACTACCATACACTGCAGTTATACAGATTGATTCACTGCAGCATATTGTTATCACTGTCAGGCTTCGCAACACTGAAGAGAATTTGAACTTACTACTAAAAATCATTGCCAGAACATAATTAATAATTGTATAGAAGAAAAACACTATTACATATTTAAATTAATATATGTATAAATTTATAGCAATAAAATTATCTTAATTACTTATTTTGACAGAAATAAATATTGTAGTGCATAGTGTTACAGTCATTGTTTGAATGAAATAGATAACATTGCAATATAAAATAATACTGAACTATATTACTTCATTATTACATTTTTATATCAGAAATTAATTTTTTCTAGTTTTCAATATGATTTTCAAAATGACATGATCAATCGTATATATTTATTTTACGACTAAATAGCATAATTCCTGAGCATTTATAGAAATAAAGATTACTGTTGTGACATGCGGTTTCGATAACTCAAATAATCGCGCGTCCTGCGAAACAATGCGCGATCACGCGCTTGAGGGCGTGGCGCTGTCTCCGCGCTAGTGTCACTTCGCCGGGCGACCGCGGGTGACGACAGACTGAATTGCGCTCCTGGTTAACGTCATAATTGCTACAATAATAAGACACAGCCAATCAAAAAAGAAGATGAATAACGCTTGTTTAGTTTCCGCACCTATGGAGTGCGTGACAGCATTGCTGCTCGGGTACTTCATCATTGATCCGAACTAATAACTTTATTTTACAGAGCTAAATTACACATGAATAAATGGTGATTTATGTTTTTAAATCTTGATATTCTTAGTATTGCGTGCATTAAATTCTTCGCTAAACAGTTAGGATGTTCTATTAGTTATATGGTGTATCTTTTATAAACAATTTCTGCTTCTTTTTTAACAGTCCATATAATAACGTTCTTTCTGATTGTTTCGTTTGTAACAAACCATGGGGCATTCGTTATAGATTTTAAGGCTTTATTTTGGAATTTTTCAATGATATCAATGTTTGATTTTATAGCTATATTCCAAAGTTGAATACCATATACTATATTCATCCTGGCTTAAGTATGCTCTTGTATATTAATAGTTTATTTATAATAAGCATTTTATATTAGAGGTGGTTTTTGTATTTAAGTCAGTTGTTAATATAGCTATATCATCTGCGTAAATGGCAATATTTATGTTTTCCATAATTGGAAGATCATGGGTGTAGATTAAACATAACATAGCGCCAATAACACTACCTTGACAAACATCGACTTTTATTAGATAAAGTTTTGAGGTATCATTTATACCTTAAAAGTTCTTTGATTTGGGTATGATTTTAAGTGAAGATAGAGATTTTTCTTGGTACGATATTATTAAGTTTATACAAAGGCCTTCGTGCCAGACTTAATCAAAAGATTGAGCTATATCAAGAAATACGGTATTACAATATTGGTTTTTTTCGTAAGTATTTTTTATTTTAACGGTGACTGTTAATTTGTTCTAATGTCGCGTGGTTATTACGAAAACCGAATAGGAGTTCAGTTATTATATTTTGTTTCAAAAATACTATATTTAATCTTTTGATTATTATTTTTTCACATACTTTGGAAAGTATAGGAAGTACGTTGATAGGTCTACGTATATGATGAAACAAGCTCGATAGTCTATTTTCTATCACGATTGGTCTTTTATTTAGCACTCTTTTCCATTTTGTTGTTTCTTCCCTTGTTTTCTCTGTATAATTTCTAATTTATCTTATTTGCACTAATTGTTTATTTGCAGCCATATTCGCTGGATTTAATTTAAATATGTCAGTATGTATGTTTTTTGCTTGTTATTATTTAAACTATGTGAAAATTTTACTTATAAATGTTTGGATTTTCAAGAGCGTTTATTAAGCATATGTACAGAACGAGCTCAACAGAATGACTGAATTATTTTATAACAGAAATTGATTTCGATTCAGTTTTCAACATGACATTTAACATTGCGTGGCCAATCACATACTTCTTTTTTTGGATTAAAGAATAAATTTCCTGGACATTTGCACAAATAAGGTATACCGTATGTGCAATGATAAAAACTTTGACAATCTTTTGGATTTGAAAAAAAAAAATTATCTTCCGGCCCTTCTTGTGGGGGACAATATACTGGATATTTCCCAAATGGATCAGGTGCGACCTTTTTGCAACGATCGGAAGGCAAAGCAGTTGTGGGTTCAGTAGAGGGAGTTGTGGGTTTAGTAGAGGGAGTTGTGGGTTCAGTAGAGGGAGTTGTGGGTTTAGTAGAGGGAGTTGTGGATTCAGTAGAGGGTTTAGTAGAGGGAGTTGTGGGTTTAGTAGAGGGAGTTGTGGGTTCAGTAGAGGGAGTTGTGGGTTTAGTAGAGGGAGTTGTGGGTTCAGTAGAGGGAGTTGTGGGTTCAGTAGAGGGAGTTGTGGGTTTAGTAGAGGGAGTTGTGGGTTTAGTAGAGGGAGTAGAGGGTTTAGTAGAGGGAGTTGTGGGTTTAGTAGAGGGAGTTGTGGGTTCAGTAGAGGGAGTTGTGGGTTTAGTAGAGGGAGTTGTGGATTCAGTAGAGGGTTTAGTAGAGGGAGTTGTGGGTTTAGTAGAGGGAGTTGTGGGTTCAGTAGAGGGAGTTGTGGGTTCAGTAGAGGGAGTTGTGGGTTCAGTAGAGGGAGTTGTGGGTTCAGTAGAGGGAGTTGTGGGTTCAGTAGAGGGAGTTGTGGGTTTAGTAGAGGGTTCAGTAGAGGGAGTTGTAGGTTGAGTTGAGGGAGTTGTGGGTTTTACAGTAGGTCGTGGAGGTTTTTCACCAGCACACTTTGCAGATTCAAATTCAACGCAAGTTAACTTTACTGCGTCAAATAATGTTCCATACAGACAAACATTCTGGATTGGGTAACCACTTATACATGCCCAATAACTCGAACAATCATCTTCATTTGGTAGCAAAACAATTTTTCCAGGTTGATCATCGGCAGGACATTTCGGTTCAGTAAACCTACAAGAGCCTATAGTTATGATGGCACTAAAAGTCAGAATCATAAACACTGCAAAAAAATCAATTATTAATAATTCGTTTAGAAAAATGATAACATCATATATGTTATCAAAATGTAACTATTTAAAAGATTTTAAAAGAACTACAATATTAATGCATAATGTAATCATAAAAGAAAATTTTTTTTATAAATATGATATTCCGGTAAAGATTAACAGTATTGCAATATTTATTAATCACTAATAAAATTAATGAAATAGCAACACTAAAAATATTAAATATCACAACATTTTTATATATGTTCACGGCATATGCATTTCTTACATAAATCTTAATTTATATAGCACTTTTATACAAGATTTTTCATCGCGTATAAAAAAGGTATGGCCTGCTGAGAGAAATCACTAAGGTCGTGAGTAATACCTGTATTGACTGAACAGCTGAACTTCATAATAGTATGGTAAAATGATTTTAATACTCTTCAATGAAATTCATATCCTGGACATGTACATATTCTAATAAAGCTGATAACTTTGGCATCAATTAATATTTTTACTTAAAAATTTAGGTAAATATTTACCTTGACATATGCAATAAAAGCACAAAGTTAAAAAATAGATTAACTAGTATAACATCTATCAAAATAGCCGAAAGAAACATCCACTATAATGGTCATACATCACGAATTTTTAATTTTAGGAATTTTTTTCTGGAGATCTAATGTATTTTATCAAAAATTTATTAGAGATCTTTTTAAACAGAAATTGTACGCAAAATACGATATTATTTTTTTCTTTTGCAATTATTACAATGTGTAATGTCCAATCCGCCATATTGGATCTACTTTCTTGATTTTGAAAACCTATCATCGAATTCTCATTCAATATAAAATACAACAAAAAATAAAATAAAATCTAGTTTTTGAAACTTCTGTGGATAATATACTTTTCTGAACTTGTTATTTTCTCAGCTCTCCGAATGCCATAAATCATCCGCCATGACAAAAATCATAAAATATGTTTGAAAATATCCTAAAATGTTGAACAGTTCAATATTTTGAGTAAAAAACCTCCATCCAATATTTATCCATAGCAGAACTAATAACGTCATTTTGAAAAAGATAAGACATACAGAGCTGAACCAAAAGACTATAACTAATTTGTCCATCTTCCTTCACAGTTGAAAACAAGTGAACATTCTTCATGGACTATATAAATCAAAACAGTATATCGAAAAGTATAGAGTACCTTATGTTTGGTGATAATACATTTCATTTTTAGATTTAGCAGCGAGAATTGAGAATGAGTTTAAAAATGTGTGATTTTAGGTGTTAATCGGTTAAAATCAATATAAACTACATGATATACTATTAATCAAAATCATGCGATTAACTACTACACTATATATTTATTAGTTGAAATACTTCTTTACAACTCGATAAATTAAATTACCTATCATCGTTCCGGCAGTCGCTTTTCTATTGAAATATGTATTATATCACTATTGGCTTGTATATGACTTCGAATACGACTGGTTTCTTCTATCAAATGCGACAAAGCTGTATAGTATTTGATAGAGTACTTATCGATAAATATCTGTAATTATCTAAATGATTAAATTTTATTTAATGGTTTCACTAAGTGCTTGATAATTTTGTGAGTTTAAAATCTTATCCTACTGATTATGAAATTGTATAATATAATAATTGTAATAAATAATTTGCTAATAAATTATATCTATCCTATTAGAAATCGATACATGAATTTCATATACAATTGGTACATATGTTAGTATAAAATTTGAACGAAATACGTACGTAGCAAATACATAAATTGCATATATTATTATGTATTATGTACGAAAAATGTACGAAATTAGTATGCATGTCTACTTAAGCAATAGCATTAATTAATTAGTATATACATATTTAACTACTTGAAGTTTAAAGAGTGATTTAAAAAACCGTCTCTACGTACTGGTAACCTGCAACCTTCTCTCGTATCTTAGTTTTATCTTTCTTAAAGGGTGTGTAAGGAAAGAGAAAATTTTTAGATTCAAATATTTATATTTTATCTTACTAGCGAAATTTCTTGACTTATCTTTGATAGATTCACACGTATGGAAAGATATGGATCCGTCTGCGCGTCTGCTTGTGGCACTAGAAAATTTCATGTTCAGCTTATGCACTGTATATTACTGATGATTGCGACCCGCCTAATAAACCCTTTCTTACTTTTCTAGTTCTCTCCACTACTACTGTAGTATTAAAGTATACACATGCAACGTGATATTTTTGTACTGATATTACTGACTCATATGGCCGAGATTCGAGAATATGATATATGATATGGACTAATGTATTATTTGTTGGAGATTGCAACCTCAAAACTAGATGGTTATAAAAAAATTGAATTTTTAGTTTAGTCAATAAAAATATCAAGTGAAATTGATATTAAGTGCCTGCAAATAAAAAAATTTGTTGTTTATTTTTTGTTATGGACAGTTTCTTCTTGATATGAATATCGCTTGCACTTCTAGTATCAGTAAAAATAAATCGTTTATCGAATATTAATAAAACATGACAAAACAATGAAATAAAACATGTCATAGCAAATAGGACTCTTTTAGCAATGCTGAGAACATTATACCTTTATGGTGAAGTTCTAATTGAAATATACTGCTTGTACTGTGATGTTAACATTATTCTATCTTATCTATATTGTTCCTATATACAAAGCTTATTAACTTAATATTTCAAAACTTTATTTTTTACTTCAACACGAGAATAATTTAATAATTTAAGAATTTTCTTTCAACTTAATATTTCTACTTATTAGCGTTAAAAAAATATGTATAATCTGAAGAAAAATTTTAATCCGACCATGACAGTCAACCATCTTGAACAATTTTCATAATTTATCGTTAATAGCAATGTGTATCTATTATTTAACAAATAGCTCATACACTTTTCAATTATACGAATTTCAAAAAAGCAAATGAATATCGTCTTAAATTAGTTATTTTATATTTGAAATGTGATGTAGATATAGTTAATCATATTATTTACAAGTAATCATTGGTAACTCCATTCTTGATCTATAGGAACTCTCAAGTTTTAATCTTTACTTTACGTAACATATGCATAAGTAATCATCGTTTTGTACTGGTCTAATCTAACATGGCTGCCAATGTTATAAATGCGAGTTTAGTAAGATCATATACTTTCTTATTTATTACATAGCAGAACGTGTTCACTCACTTATCTCAAACTTTCGACGACTTTCTCATACGCTGTATTTTACGTCATTTCGTACAACTTTACGGCTTCCTCGTTCTAGATGGACTTTATTATTCTGGTGCTATATTTTTTTGCAATAATCATGTTGCCAAATTGATGGATGTACAAAGATCAAATATCATCTTTAACTTTTCTATCGTTAGTAGTGAAAATGAAATAATTTGCGTGTTTAATAATTAAATGTTCAAAATTCAATTATAAATTAAACAAAGTTTGGAAGTATTTCTACAGTCGTAATCAGTACTATAAGCTTTCAACCTAGTACAAATTTAATCATATTTCCAATGATTTCACAGTTATTTAATAACTTGGAAAGTCATTATTTAAAGTATGAAATCCATTATAAAAAAAATAGGATTCCCCTATCAATGCTTAATAAAGATAAGTTTACCTGTAAACCTATATCGATATTAGCATCCGATATAGGTCAAAAATTAATTTAAAAATAGCTATTACCCATACGTCGGGTGATTATCTAGCTTTGAAGCGAAGTTCTCTTCAGTTCGCGAAGGAGAAACATCAATTACCTCCCACGAAAGCGAGCGAGAAAAGCGAGGGGGTGTATGGGTAGTCGAGCGGCAAATTGTCCGCCATCTTAGCCACCTTATACCTCTATCCCCCCTCAACTTTGCTTTCCTTCTTCTCCTCCCTTGCGTTTTACTCATTCCCCCCTTGACTCATACTCTCGCTCTATCTCTCTCTCTCTCTCTCTCTCTCTCTCTCTCTCTCTCTCTCGTTCTGTCTACCTCTCTTTTTAACGTGTTCACATTCTTATCGTTCTCTCTTACGTTTATTGTCATTTTCTTCTGACGGGTTTATTTGTCTGCGATTTTTATTACTTTTAAAGTGCTCAATTTTCATCAATGCAATTTTGTATAATTAATTATTTCTGTTATTGATAAATATAAAAATATTTCATACAAATTTATAATTCCCTCAATTTCATCAGATTTAAGTTTAATTAATCCATTATTAAAAAAACAGCTATTTTTCATGTTACAATAAATCCAGAAATCATTTTTTCAACCTCAAATTCTGAAGAAAATTTAACAAAAATTCAAATCTTCTAAATTACAAAACAGAAACAAAAAATCTTGCTGAAAACAAACAAATAACTTTTGTTTTAATAAATTTTCCGTAGTAAAGTAGTTGTACAGCGCCACCTAGTTATTCTTAGGGTAAACTAAACTTGAAGATTACCCACCCTCTTTATAAGCGCTCGTGTTACCCATTTATTACTACTACCCTCGTTCGCCCCACCTATACTTTGTCGGCTGCTTCTTACCTCTTTTCCACCTCAGTCTTGCTTTTTGAATAACTCTCAGTGAAATCTGCACTGCGGCGATGTAAGTGGCCGATAACGTGTTGCAGCTCGCAAACTTTCAATTTACTAATTTGTAGATTAGAACAGATCTTCCTTTTTTTATTTATAATTGTACTGAAAGTAAAAGAGTCTTATGATTAACGTTTTTATTATATTCAGATTTGAAATTAGTCTTGGAAAAGGTTTATATGTATACGTATAAACAGAAATGTTAATATATCTACAACTTTTGTTGTTATTTTATCATATTTTGGCGATATGAAATAAGAGAGCATCTGAATAGAGATCACGAAAAATATCCGCTTGAAAATTGAAATAAAAAAATTTCGCCTTCGTACTAAAGGAGTTCATAAAGAAATAATATCGGTTACACGCATAAAATATGTGGAAAAGACGCCAACATACCGTAAATAAAGAAGTTACTGCTTTTGACTCAATATATTATTATTATAACGCGAATTATCGATTAGCTATGTTTGACATATTAGTGTGATTAGACGATCTACCGACTTGTCAGCGTGTTGCTTCTTGCAAATTGAGTAATTAGCTTTTGACAATAGGTTAAATGGCAACAAAACAAAAGCCAAATAATTTAGTTTAATTGAATGCTAATTAGAGTGCCACGAGAATATACCTATTACGTACTAATATCTATAGCTAATGGTGAAATATTTTTGCCCCAATAATTAATAAAAACTGTTAAGAATTTACGTGAATTCTGTTTTTTATGATTGATATATTTACTTGAATATTGTAATCATTATTGTGAATATCTGAGCTATAGTAGATATCGCCCAATTCGAATTCTTACTTTTAATCAGTAACATTCTATTTGAGACATGAAGCAATAATTCTTTTCTATCTCTATCGCGAACCTATCTATGATAATAATTATCAATTAAATAAATCATTTACTTCATTTTTCCCGAAAGGCTATGAAATCATTGATTTGTTTTAATGTTTCATACAGTTGACTTATCTTATCCGTTTTATAATGCCTTATCTTAAAAAAATGTAAGTAATCTCTTGAACTTTGAGAGAGTGTAAGTATAAAGCACAAAATATTGTCAAGGACAATTTAAAAAATTCTGAAAAATAAAGCGGTTTAAACATTTCTAAATAAACGAATATTCACGTTTTACCAGTGAAATTTATAAATTATTTAATTATTAAATTAAACATAGAGTTTTGTAGGTATTATATATATGCAAATATTAAACATCGAAAATATAAAAAAAATTAATCTAATAACATTATTACTTTAAGTAGATCTGGCCCCAAAATATGTTTGAGAAAACAGTGTATAGTAAAAAGTTCATGCATCGTCAATTAATGTACGTATGTATGTTGTAAAGTTCTGAATTAAAATTTTGCTCATAGAGTGAGAAGTCAGGACATTTACAAATGGCGATTAATTAAACGTAAAAATTTTTCATACTGCATTGACGTGAATTTATTCCGCGATTGTAAAATACTTAGTCTTATAATATGTAAAATGCAAAAACAGAAATCAAGGAATGGATTATCTTCATTGTAGCGCGGGGTATTTTTCGCCACATTCGTATTTTCTCCGCTTTGCCATTATAATTGACCCGTCAAAAATGTCTGCCAATGTTTGACCGTCTTTACCAATTTGCCTAAACAACAAATTGCGATAAAGATAGAATGTTTTATTTTATGTTAATGCAGTAGAATAAATATTTATTTGATCAACAATCAATATAATATGTATTTGATCAACTGCCATTTGCAAATATCCCCACTGTTGTGGGCAAAAAGTTAGTTTTGCTGTCTACGTACATTAATTGACAATGTATCAACTTTTCCGATATATATATATTGTTTTTTCGAGCACTTTTTGAGGTCAGCTTTTGGAATATATATGTAAAATTAATATCTGAACATGATAACATAGTGCGGAATTCGCAGTTGACCTATTCATGATAAATCACATATATGTATATTTCCCGCCGTTTATGCATCTATGTTTACAACCTATATTACCATTATTCGATAAGAATGAACACAATACCCAGATATAACATATATCATCGCGATATATTCCTCTCGCAGTCCGCATATGACATAAAGAAAAAGATACAGCAGAACGTTGAAATGTAAAATGTCTGCTTCCACGGTCCTATGTCGGTTATTTGGGCAAAAAGCTTTAGATTTAACGCGATTTATCGCACCATCTTCTTGTCAAGTACAACAGATACGTGATTATTGGAAACCTAAAAATGTACCACAACCAGGTATCAAAGGAAAAAGTTACAGAAGAATTGTTCATTTTAAAGACAAGTACACTATCCAACCTTTAGAGGTTACAAATTTGGGTGGAAGGGATCCAGTAACTGGTAAACATCATAATTATAAATGCTTATTATTTACATGTTTCAGTAATTAATTCTAAGTTGTTCATTACCAGTTGTTTATCTGTTATAATGCATTTTCTTGTTGCAAAAAATATTATCACATGTTGCATTCCTAATCATTATTATGTATTTCACAATGTAGTATTGAAAAGGAATATTTTTTCAAGCTTTACTTCGTTTTTCTTATTATCAAAAATATAAACATTTGAAATAAAATTTAAATGCAAACAATTGGTATTTTAGGTCGAGTAGTGTGCATAGGTATTGGAGGTGGTTTAAAGCATAAATATCACTGGATCAAGTGGCTCCGAACTGGACCAAAGGATATCAATGAAAAGCCAAAAGAAGAAAAAGTTTTAAAAATTCTATTTGATGGCTGTCGTACATCTCATCTAGCTTTAATAGGCAGTGGTAAAGAGCTGTACTACATTCTTGCTACAATAAATATGAAAGAAGGAGACATCATCAAGACTCACATGGGTATACCTCGAATACCAGTTATACCTAATGAAGGTGATTGCTATACACTTGGTGCTCTTCCAGTTGGTACAATTGTGAACTGTGTAGAAAAGTATCCAGGACTTGGTGGATTTCTCATTCATTCTGCAGGAACATTTGGTACAATCATAAGAAAGGAAGAAGATAGAGTTATTGTGAAGGTGCCTAGTAAGAAAGAATTCAGCCTCCTTAATTCTTGTATGGCAACTGTTGGAAGATTATCAAATGAAATGCATAGCAAAACACCTATTGGAAGTCCCAATGCTAGCAGATGGCTGGGTAATAGACCAAGAAGCGGTTTGTGGCATAGGAAAACAGGAAAGCATGGTCGTAAAATCAAACCTCTACCACCAGTAAAACAGTATAATCCTTATGCACCTAAAAGTGATGATACTATTCAACTGTCCCTAAGTGGCTTCATGTAACAATATGGATTCTTTGTTAAGTTATTAATTAATTAACATACATTGTTTTTTATCATCATAACCTGAAAAGATGATTAGAAAGAAATACAACTAGAAAAAATTGTTACAAAAAATAAATTGTTTTTAAACATCCATTATTGGCTGAAATTGTATTTATTGTCTTTTAGTGTTATATGACACAATAATTGACTTTACATTTTGATTCTTCAGTGTTATGGATACAGTCAAACTTATAGATACATTTGTATTGTAAAGATTTTTAATTTCTCAAATAAAGGATAAAAGATGGTCTTTAACTTATGAAGTAATATATACAACTAAATTACAAACAAAAATGCAGTTTTCAGTCGAAATATTTACGATAGGAATCATAGTTTATAAATGAGTATAATATTTCAATTAAAATTGTTGAATTTACAATACTTAAAAGACATTGTATAAACTTTGAGAAAATCATTTTATAAATATATAAACGATTATTTATTCAAAATAGATAATGACTGCATTCATTAAATTCAAGCTGCACAAACGGATAAAAATTTCAGAATGTAGGTAGTACCGATACTTGTAATAGTACATTACGATACAAGTGCGGGAAAGCAGATTCTAGTCTCGTGTAGCGTTTACGCCCGAGCGAAGCAAGGGTATAAAGGTACACGAGACGAGAAACTCTTTCTCGAACATGTGCCGTACTGTATTTTTTTATACGACGTGTGGAAAGTGCGATTTTCAACGCTCATTTTTGGCCGAACGTGCGGGAAAAACGCACTTTCCGCACGGAGTGTCGAAAAATAATTATTTACATACATTTTTCTTTTGATTTAAAATATAATTTGAGATAATTTGATTCAATTTGGTATTACGCGAAATTATAGGATTTTTTTATTCATAAAATTGTTCTTATTACCGTAGTTTAAACGATTAAACATTTAAAGCTTCTAACAATTAGCTATACATAAAATATACAGCAGAAAATATTTCCGTAATAACACTATGAAAATCTCATTTATCCACATAAAAATTTACGTATATGATCAACGCATTCTGGGCTAAAGTTATCATACCTGTAATTTTTATGTCACATCAATAATCAACGAGCTTCATGTATGTAAATTCAAAAATACTTTTCCTGCAATTTGTTGTTCTATAAAAACATGATTTATAAAATTATATCATCTATTTAGAAGCCATTCTCTATAATAATAAGTATATTTTTGCAGCACTTATAAGCACAGTAGACCACTACATTTGAAAACAATATAAACTACAGCAAAAAAATAATTATAAAAGAAAAAAAGAAAAAATCACAACTGATGCATCGGGAACAGACGAGTTGAACACAGTTAAAAAGTACGTTACAGGCCTTTATTGTAATAGACAATATTGGCGCTTGGATGTTTAGCTCGAACTACTTGTTGAACGTCTTCTTCGAGACGATCGACTGGCACAGCAACACGTTGTGCGAATAAAGCGCAACATAAGGGCGTTGCGAAGGTCAAACATACACCACATATGGCTACTTGAATAGGACTTGCAGCCCATTTAGCTTTTGCCAAAAGATTTCGCTTCTCAAGTGCGTTCATTATCACAGGTGCGAGAACTGTTAGAAAATAGGAGGATTATTAAAATAAGTAATTGTATTTTTTCCGGTTATTATAGGAAAAAACTGTAATTTTACTCATGCTAGGCGAAGCCATAAGTATCCTCGATATCGTGACCGAAGCAATAGCTTCTCTCGCAGCCTTTCTACTGTTGCCAAGTTTATCGCCCCTTTCGTTCTGTAGCTCGATGCCGTCCTTGATTTCGGTGAAGCGCATCAATGGAATATTGACGCAATTGGCAGCGGCAACAGCTGCAAGTGGTACGAGTCTACCAGCCAGTGCTGGTCCGCGTTTGGCGAGTTTGTTGAGTGTCAGTGCTGTTGCAACTGCGCCAGTCGTTGCACCTAAGTAACTTATACCAAGGGTTTCTACAGGAATTGGACTAGAACCACTACGATTTGTGTAGTTGACAACGGCGTTGAATGACTGATTGCACCATTGCCAGAATATCACCGCTAGCGTTGACCTGTATAAGTAGGACAAAGTTAATATTAATTTTTTTGACAACTGATAACTGACATTTGTAATAGTTTTGAGCAAACAAGATTAATAAGAACTTGGCCTCTCCTAGTTTGCTCTCTCGGTTTTCTAGTTTTACAATGTAGGTCTCGAGGGAGGAAGAACGGACGCGACTGGTTTGTACATATTTTTAGTATCAATACACATGTTCGCGTATGAATACCTATTACTTTTAATAAAATTGTCTTGTTTTACCGAGTAATAAATTAATATATTTGTATTTTTTAATCGAATAGTTTGGATTATTTTAATAAATAAAATTATTGTAGCGAGTCTTCTTTTTTAATTTTTTCATTTTTTTTTCGTTTGACATGGAATATCTTTCACATGAAAATTTCGTAAACTTCGATGACACTCTTGTAGTTATGATAGTTTACAAGAGGGGATATTGTCACAATACGTTAATTGCGTTATAAGCTGCAAGATAATAACGTCAATGATAAGCTGTGACCCTTGACCCTGATTTCTCTTAAGGTAGTATAAGCTATATAATTGTCATCAACAATTTATAAAATGACATTTCATGATTTTTTTTAAATCATAAAAAATGTATCTGTTAGTTAATAATTGTACGTAAAAGAGATATGCATTAGAAATCAGTTTTTATAAAATTTTTTTTATATTTATTGATATAAAAATACTAAATTTACTATCGATAAATAGAAAATAAATAAATTACAAATATTTCAAATAATTATATTTATGATGCAAATAAAATAATAAATAAAATAAATTATGAAAAAACTACGAAAAAAAAGAAATTTTAAGCTCGTTCGAGATTAATTCACATTAATATTTTTTTAAATTAAACCTTGTATTTTTTTCAAAATCGACAAATCAATCTTTAAAACCAGTTTACTTTATCGGAATCTACGTCGCTAAAAAATACAACTGCAGATTATAACATTGGTAGACTCACAAACAAGATAAAAGTTAGAAAATCAACCTACTGATAGAAGGTCATCATACACCCAGTAATCATCATATTCATAGGTACTTGGGCACTCATACGCCCAACTAGTAACATTTTTTCGCCGGTGTCTGGATGGAATGCACTGTCGTATAAATATTTGTTCTTCCATAACTCATCCTCAGTTATACCCAATTGATCCAAAGAAGCGCCTTTTCTGAGAACAAAGCATTAATGTTTATTGAATCGCTGATGCTTCACTGTCTTTTTCCTTTGACGCTCCAATCGTTACTTAATTTGGCCCGCACTAAGTGGTCGTTCTCGTGACCAGTCCAGCATGTATTAAATACGGTACACGATAACGAGACAGGCTAAACTTTTTTTTTGTTCCGAAACATTCATGTGTTTTTAAGCACACTATGTATTATGAATATTTTTGTTACCTCAGTTAACGAGAAAAAAATGCGTGATACAAAGAAAATTTAATCTACTTTTATCGTTGCGAAAAGTAATATGCAGTAAAATCCGATGTAAGAAGCTGAAAGTCAAGATGTCAATGAATGAAAAGTACTTTTATTTTTATCTTCTAGAAACCTAAGCTTTCAGTTGTTGGTCTCAGTTAACACTTCACATGCTTAGAGTGCTTTCTTATCTGATTATATATATACTCATTTGAATTATACAACTGTCGTTAATTTAATTATAACGTAACTGTCGAAAAAAAAAATTGTAGTACATGCTAAGTTTGTTAATTTTACTATGTTTTACTAACACGACAGCGAAATTCTTTTCAACTAATATTGCCAAAAAAATGGATAATCTGAAATCTCAGTGTAAAGCAATCACTTGCTACGCGTAATAAATGTGAGGAACGAGTTGTTGACATTATGTAGGATGTAATCACGACAAGATGCCAATTGTACGTACAGAAAACGTTCAATCATTGTCATAAGTATGACGAAAGTCTACATTCGCGCGATAATTTAAATCATTTTGTTCGATTTTTGGTTGACCTACATGTTGTACGACGATGCATCACTTTTTTCAACCACGAATCTATGTTGGATTACCGTTGTGATCTAATGAATGTGTGTGATACAGATATGACTTGCAAATAATTTGTAATTGATGAAAATTTACTTACCTGTATTTAGTTACGATTTCCTTTGCTCTTTCAAGTTCTGAATTTGATGCAAATACATTTAAAGGGTTCGTAACTGTGAGAAAATGTCTCGCTCTACCGACGTAAGTACTTTGTTCCCATCTTGGCTTATCGATGTCGATTTTTTTGCTTAGCATCTTTTAAATTCTCTCGTCTATCTGGAACTCAGCTTGCTGCAAATAATGTTGGTACATTATTATTTTATTTTTTTATTTCTCTTCTCGTACTATTCCTTGTCATTTTTTTTCTAGCAAACAACGCAGATTAGAATCACAGTAGACATTTTTAAAAATTTGCTATTTAAGCTTAACCTGTTTGACCGAACTCTTTTAGCATTTGAGCAAGGAAAAAGAAACGATAAATAATGCATAATGTAAGAGATATGTTTTTGAATGGTATATGAGAAAATTACAGATAATTGTTTCTTTAAAGTAGAAAAAATAACTACGAGTACGCATTTTTTGACAGTAAAGTTTATTACTTGATTTCGTATGCTGTTAAAGAATAACAATCAAATAAAAAGTGGAATTTTAAATTGAATGTTTATCGTTTTATTGTGTCTGGCCAACGTGCATAAACTCTTGTAAACATGTTTTTATGCGAATGTATTGTGCTGTGTTCTGCACAAGTCCAGAAACATCACAAAGAGAAAAACAAGCTTAATTTATATATTCTAGGACTATTTATGAATTAATTTTCGCTAAAAGTGTTACAAACATGAAAACCCTGTTCTTGGCCTCTTTTTAACGGCACGTTCAACTGTACATTAATCAATTACGTTAATTGAAATAAATAATCATAACGCGATTATTCAACACTGATAAACAACCAACCATTTATGAAAACATAATAATCACCTGCGGAATAAGCACGCCCTTTTACTTTTTTAGCAGGGAGAAGGATATTCAAAGTTAATAACCTCGCGGTCGTTTTGACGCAATGGAAAAAAAGCGTGAACGCGGGATAAACAATGCGGATCGACGCACTTATACTCGCGTAAACGCGGAACAGCTGTCGTCGCAGTACTGACACAAACTTCCAAGTTTCCTCACTCTCTCACAGCGTTCGATCTTTTCTCTATGATACTCCCCCTTCTCGCCGATATTTTTCTCTAGGGTCATCTGTGTAGATTACTGGATGTATTTTACACGTTCCAACGTTGTAATTTATATTACGAAGCTTTTAATTGGTCAGGCAGTCATTGAATACAATTTTTTTTCATTGTTTTCATATGTGCAGAATAAATATTACAAAATAATAATCACTAGATATCAAACAGTAATTTACAATAGGTCAATTTTTCAGATTTTTTAATTCAAAAGAGGTCATTTCAATTAGCGAATGGGTAACCCGTGGGAAGTGATGTATTTTCACTAGGAAAATACGAAAATATGAATGAAAGCGATTTCAGTTTATAGTGAAAATAACATTTTAATTATTCTCAAATTGAAGTAAAGATTGGTTAGTATTCTATCATCAACAAATACAACGTATATGATTAAATAAACACAGGCGTGCCATGTAGTTTTTTTCAAAGAAACATATGCGCCTGAATACGTATGTTTGAAAGCAACCCATTGTAGATAATGCATTTTTCGATTAACAGAGGTAATAGTTTTCATTGCGTATGATTATTCATGAAGGTATAAACGAAAAAGTGTTACGCGAGTAGTTTCATCTAACAGCGCTTTAGGGAAAATTCACCGCGTAAATTATTAACATGACCCCAAGATTCGCGGTTACAGAAATTTGATGTAAATCTGTCATTTTCGCTATATGCCGTCATTCATTATTCAACATACTCACAGGTTTTTGTCATCTATTCGAATGTACTTTGCCATCCAATGAAACAATCACTATTACTACTTTTCTCTTAATTCCGCGTTCTTTATTTTCAAGAATCCATGTGAACCGTAAGTTTTCTACATTCTCTACGCTTGGAATCTCGACCCGACTCGAGTGAATCGCCTTCACTCTCTTTCTCTCTATCGCGCGCGCGCTTCACGCTCCTCATCGATAAACTTACATCTGCGCGCGCAGACAAAATGTCAGCTAAAAGAGACAGAAGAGGAAAGTGTTCGTCAGTATTAAAGGTTTGGCCGGATATCAAATTTACCGAGAGATGGTAAAGGGTGTAACGTTCTACTGTCGATTAAATACGACTATAATTTCTATATTTGAATCGAGATGAAATCGCACAAGAAAGCTATTTGCAAAGTTAGGGTGTAGGTCATTTGAAGAGCTTTATGTGCATTATACAAATAGGCCTTTTTATTTCTCTTTGTGAGACTACATTGAGATTGAAATAAATTTTAAATTTTCTCGTTTTACTAGATATGTTGATTTGTTTTTATAAAAACTAACTTTTGTAAATAATAAGGTTTTCATTTGTTGCATAAAGAAATAATTATATCCGTTTGATTTGTTTAATTGTACACTGCGCATCAAATTAAATTGAATGAAATTCAAAATGCTTATAATTTGCAATCATAAATTTTTGAGACAGTGTGAACACTCGTATTAAACATGAATTAATTATGAATCATACGAGCTCTTTTATGTGTTTTTTGCCGTTAATTTTTTCTAGAAAATAGAATTATAATATTGACAATATTATTAGAATGTATGTCATTCGAAAGGATATTGAAGTTTAATAATGTCGAATTAATATCACTTTTAGATTAATTTGAGGTTTATATATATTTGAACTTTAAAGTTGAATACCTCGAAATGACACAAACCAAGCTATCCGGTTCTACCCGGAAGCCATCACTGATTTGTACTATGTTAATATTTAATGATCATATCTATTAAACCTGGCGTTTATTGGAGATGAAAGCTTTATATTTTAATTGTTAGATAGGAAGAGCAGTGATTATTGTCAATGTAATATTGTTTTGATTGATCTTGGAAACGGAACTGGAGAAAAAATAATGTACGTTAAATGTTAGTATTTGTCTTGGACACTATATATGATAGATTTACAAAAATTTATTTTGTTATACTGCATGAAATCGTTTATTAAATAATTTCATCAAAATTTTTGGAAGCTCGAATGTAGCAGTTTTAATGCACTACGAAATGTCAAGTCAATTGAATCATCTTATCAAGATAAGACAAGGTAAGACAGTATGATTGCAAACTTATTTTCAGCGTATCACGCTCCAAAAAAAAAAAAAAAAAAAATTCACGCCTTCCATTACGAAATCCAATTCAATCTAAAATAAAACTACTTTCCAGGAAAATTTATGCAGGTGCGTCGCGTCATAAAAGACACGAGACGCATACAAGCGTTTATAGCAATACGCTCGCAAAGGCGCAGAAAATTTAAATGGTGTCGTTGTCGTCTGACCTACATTGAGACCGAAGGAGATAAGGAAAGATAAAGTATGTAGTTATACAAAAATCGTTGTTGCGTCCGCTCAAAGAATCAGGACATTTTCAAAAGGACTGCGGAATGTCACTCCGCGGCAAAAGAATGACAAAATGGTAACTTCGCGTACTGCGTGATACACAAACTAAAGATGTACAAAGTTCAGATTAACATTTTTTTTCGCGGATATCTTGATACGGTATTTTATGAAAATTTCCGGGTATTTCGAGGTATTTGCACGCGCTCGTAACTTTTTTGGTTATTTATTCAAGGTGATTCATCATCATAATCTTGTTTATTGAAAATGATCATCAAGATCAGGTAATTACTATACAGATTATGACAATTAAAAACTAAGGTGGTTTCCTTGAGTAACTGAAATAATATCGCAAGTACTGAAAGAATGAATCGAACGTGCAATCGTTCAATATCACATAAAAAATATAACTAAATACCGTTCATAAATCATCGCTTGTATAAGATCAATAAAGTGCGTAGTATAAGCCTTCAGCATGGATAAGTTTGTAAGGTGTGTCAAATACAATGAACGACACTCGTGAGTCAATCCATTTCGTGAGTCAACGATGTGTTCGCAAGTGTGTCGCGTGCTATTTGCAGAATGAATAGACCAACGATAAAAGATTTATTTCAAAACTACTCTGAATTTAATTGGCAAAAAAAAGTCTGTTACGATCGACAACTTTGTTTTTCTCGTATTTAATCAAGATCGTTGAAGTAATATTGCCAATGAAAAAAGGTAATGTCAATAATAATACTTACTTCAGCGATTTCTCGTGAAGCACGCGGAAGCTTACCATATAATAAGCATCCTTGGCACGCTGAGAAAATCGATTTGATTGATTGACGCCTCTGCAGTGCACACGATTTTTCACGCAATTATTAACCTTAATTGCATCACCAAGATAGTACCTTTTTCAAATTCTTTGGCTCTGTAATACATGCGCGAAAAAAGTATCCTCGGCTATTGAGGTTACTGTTATTAATTTTTTCAAGTGGACACAACTTCCCTGTATGTATGTATCGTATGTATCCGACCTATTAATTAGATAGGTGAATTTACCGCTATAATTATTTAAGCTGGTTTAAATTTAGACTGGCTTTTACTTTTTCTGGGCGACAATTTCTGTCCTCTTATCTTTTATGCTATAAGGTTATCTGTCGTGTATACTGAGTTATCGATAAGTTTTTTAAAATATTTCTTTATATTACTTGTAAATTTATCTCAGAAAGCATATATAATAGCGTTTTTATAATAATCAGATTTTGTAACCGGAAATTTAATCACTCAGGCATTCATTCCTTTAATCAAGCCGTATTTAAAAAAAAGAGCCATCGTCTGCGTCATCATCAAATATAAAGATATATTGTCATTCCGGTTATTACGAGCTCAAACTCGAAAAAATTCTAATACACACATCGACAAGTGAAGTTTCACCGTGTCGCAAATGATTATTTTTAATGTGCAAAATACCGTAATGAATTCACGTGTGATGGGTGCCATTGGCCTACTTGGCTGAACTTCGCGCCGTTGCGCTTGGAAACGTTCGACCGAAAACGAAAGGCACGATGCTTGCGATGTAATGAGTCGCCGATATGAATATAGATCAGATCGAGACTCTGAAAATTAAAGGAGATATGTGACATTTGGACTTTTTTTAAGCTTTGCACGTGAGAAAAATATCTTTTCAGTGTTTTTGTAATGACTTATGATGATTTAGTGTAAAGTGGTTTAGCATGTACGCTTAACCGGCTCTTCCTTTGACAGAAAACATTTATACAGATATTGATTTATTTCGTCGAAATACATATTTCATAATAATAACACATATACATATATAGTATTATTGAGGAACTGATTATATAAATGTTTGAGATATAATTTGATGAAAAAAAAACAACTCTTCATTCCTTCGTGCAGATAAATGTTAATTACGAACGTTTATATTCAAATTTTAAGACTGTCTTCCTTTTCACGAAATTGGCTCACGTCATCATTTCATTGAATGATTGTGTAATTTTTCCATGTAAAAATATCAACCGAGTATGCTTACGTGAACATTAAAAATAATACTTGTTCTATTTAAGTTCTAAGTAGAATTATTACTTAATCAATGCTTAATTCAACAACTTAAACTTAGGTCTTAGCCAGCAAACATATTATATGATTAAAATAATCTTAATTGTTAAGATTAAGTAAAATTAATTACCGTAATTTATTTCATCCAGTCATCGATGATTGGGATCACAGGGCGAGAAAACACGAAGCCTCGCGTGCAATTCAATCACTTTATTGTACGGTTGCGTTGCAATCATTTGAATGAATATCTTCAAAGATTATTAGTTTCTAACAGTTACTTTGAATGTCAACGACATCTAAGTGCAAATAAAGATGCTACAATGTAGAATCATATATCTCAAGAATATACTTGTCACGCATGTCTGTTATATCGCTGAATAAATTATAAACTATTACGGGGCACATCCACTTCCACTTTCTCGACAGCTGATCTCAAGTTTCACCGCATCGTACGGTGCACACCTACATGATCTCCTAGGATGCAAATACCATCAAGATTTTTTTTCGTAAGCCTACATAATACGCAAAAACAATGAACATAAACGGCCATTATATCCGTGGCACGATGATCTGGTTAATTAGGGAGCTGATGCCGGAAATGAATAAAACCGGATTGGGAATTCAGTTATCGATTAACATCTTTGTCTTTCTCTTTTTGCGCTATACTTAACTGGGTTAGTCTATGAGGAAAAACAGGTCAAGTTTGTGATGCCATCCTATGAATATTACGAGTACTGATATGCCAACGTCGTTAACGCGAAAAACCGGCTGCTGGCTTATACGACACTTGAAAGTCGTATTGCGAATGCTTGGGAACTGAACTTGATTTTCATACAGTGTATAATGAGGAAATGCAGTAAGTAAATTGGATTTCTACAAAGATTTATCACTGTACACTCAGAATATATTTATTTATTAAGTAAGAAGTAAGCTAAGAATTCACGTGGACTTTTCAGATAATCTTATAGTATAAAAGAAAACCTCTATAATGTAATAAATGAAATGACAATGTGATCTATACTGCGAACGTATAAAAACTTTTGTTATCTCTTAAGAATATAGAATAAATTAATTATTGGTAAAGATAAAATATAAAGTATCTGATACAACGTTTACAATAATAAATTGATGTTACAAATGGTTATTCAACAGTTTTATTTCAGAGACCATTTCCAATTTTAGTAGCAATTCGAACGTCTTAAAGAAGCAATGTATATTTAATCGATGTATACTGCTAGACGATTAATTTTAATTTTATGGATTCTTCTATATTTAACGGATCAAAGTAAAGCCTGTTTATAAACTATTATTAGGTTTTCATCAAATTCAAGCATTGAAAACTACACAAAGCATGCGTTTAAATTATATGTATTTCTCAATTTCACAAATGTAAATTTTATTTATTTTCTGCGATTTTTACTTTCAGCTATATCTGTCAGATGCTATTATGTTATCGATGTAGTTCTACTTTTGGTAGCCCATAATTTATAGACCCTAAACAAAGTCAGTTTGAAAAAGATTATCTACAGTATAGAAGTATACGAGAGCAATTTTTTGGATTTCCAAACATAGAAAATTTTCAGTACTTACAACTAAATTGAGTAATATTAAAACTACAAGTACAGACATGATTTATTTATTTTATATAAAATAAACAACATTAAACAATAAGTTAAAAACACAACAGTAGTAAATTAGTGGTGGATATTTTATTATAAAAGAATTTTTGTTTCGATTGTAAATAAAATGAAAAATATTAGTAAAAAGAAATTCATTATAAAAATAAATCGACCTTCATCATAACAGTATTAATACTATGTTGGATTTGTAATGCGTGTGTTATTATTTCTTCACAGGTAAACAACTAGTTGAAGATACAACAGTTTTTTATTGTATTACATTGATCGCAAGTAAAAGCATTCAAATCATTCATTTAAATATCAACTATATTGAAAACTCAATTATATAATGCATTGGCTTAGTAAATATGAAATTGCTTCAGTTAATAAAAATGATAAGGGTATCGCACGTTCGTGTGTGCCTAAAAATGTAACATATGAAATGTTTGGACACGAGTTAAAAACAATATCATCGGAATTAATTATCGTATCGATGCAACAGTGATTTAAGTAATTTTGATAGTTATCCCAATGTTAATATTAGTTTATTTATTGTATTAATAACTATTGTCATACAATTTTGAATTAATACGCATATTTTTTTAAAAACAATCAAATAAAATCGGATAAACATCAACTATTGTCAGATTTTTATTTTATGATCTGATCACAGTCTATAGGTAACTCATTAAGTGATTAAAATATGTAATTAAAACAAAAACGCGTTCGAAAAGTACGCTTTACGCGGGTAAAAACGTGAGTCCTAACTTTTTCTTGTGGGAGAGGCAGCGTTAGTCTGTCAATAAACTGTACGTTTTTACAGATGAGTCACAGCCTCTCCTTTATGTATAAACGCTCCTCACCAATTTTCAACAGCAGTGTACCAGTCGACGACTACGCTCCGAACGGTTACGATGTATTCCACAAAAATGGCGCTTCAGAGTTTCATCTTTTTATCAATGCTTATTATATATTCTATTGATCAAGGTAGAGTATATTTTCAACTAAATTAATTTATTACTATATTTCTTTTCACTGGCACAAATAATTTCAAATTTATTGTTTTATTCTTTTCACAAACATTTTCAAATCAAAGAAATCCAATTGATGACATGTACAATTAAAATAGAGTAAATGTAGAGTACATTACTTACTTCATAAAATATTACATGAGAATTTATCTTAGCCATCTTAGTTTTTGATTTTGAAAATGTTATTTGCCTAGTTCACTAAAAAAATATTGAAATAATTTTCAGAAAGCGGTTCTAGAAATGTGAATTTGTTAACTAGTAACAACTTTAAGTTTATTAAATAGTATCATGGAATATGCTAAGGTACATTGAATCAATAAAACAATTTATTTATAATGGTGGATGTGAATAGCATGCATCTGGAAATGTTCAATATTTGTTAATAAATGTACACACCCAATTGAACTTTAATTACTAATTATGATAAATGTGTAGATTAAGTTGCAAGTTTTCTTTCGTTCATTTTGTTTAAGTTTTTGGGTAACTTAAATACTTTAAATTTAATGAGAAATGCAAACTTTATACACGCTCGAATGTTACTGACTTACTGAGTGAGTTATTAGTGGCTTTGGCTAGATTTTGTATATTTTAAAAATTTAAGTGTGAGATGAAGTTACATTGGCGATTATTCAGGCATGAGCAAAGATTTTAAAATAGATATGTTCCGAAAAACTGACTTCAAAAGTATGTGACAATATAATTAATAATTGTTATTCTAGGTCTAGAAGTATAATATTTTTAAACTTGAAAAGTATATTTCAGATGTAAAGCATTTTGGCTTAACTTTTTTCACATCAGAATATCTTAATTGAATAAAAATATTTTGTGCCCATATCATCTATGTAAAATAGGGCACATTATACCTTGTGTTAGAGTATATAATGTAATATATTGTAATGCTAATAATTTTTTTATAATGTTTTTATGATGGACATTCCAGAAAATATTATAAATTTCAATCTTTGTATTTTCAATTTCAGTATCTGCACTAAATTGTTACATTTGTGCTTCTGATTCTGATGGCGAATGTTACAAGAATCCGAAACAAGATCGATTTATAATGGATTGCGTAAATACGCAAAGTGTCTCTGAATTTTCAAATAATTTTTTAGCAGGAGTCGGAGGCAATGTTCAGTCTATTATCGCAGATTATACACGTAAGTAAAATCGTTATTTTCTTTTATTAATGTTATGTGCTTAAAAAGAGTTATTTATTTAGTAAATATAAAATTCATAATCTAAAATCATTTGTTTTTCATTGGGACTGACAATATTAATGCAGTTCATACTTCACTTAGAGACTTTATTCTTATTCACATAAATTATTTATTGTGTAAATTTATTTCTGTATCAATATTGTTTACAAATAGATTTTTACTTTTTACTAATCAATTTCTAAGTCTGTGAGCGTAAAAAAAGACTAATCACAAATATACTTTTCTTAAACCATTCGAAATTTTTTTCACACTTTCGATTGCCTTTCGTACATAGATACAAACAGATTCAGGTCGAGCGATGGTTTTTGAAACGCAAAAAATAATATTTCAACAAATTTCTTCTAACAGCGACAGTCACTCGTACAAATGAATTTATGAAAATTTTCATAATAACATTTTTTTTTCAGGCTCACGTCAATTGAATATCTTCGATCATACATGTTTGACCATTATTGGAGGTAAAAATAAATTTAATTTGAAATCGAAATAAAATCTTACTCGACAATTATTAATGATATAAAATTTTGTAATATTCCAGACTTGGCCGGTAAAAGATCTGTAGTAAGAGCTTGCTCTCCTAAATTCATGAAGTGTCGAGAATGGGAAGGAAAGTTCGGCAGTCTGCAAATTGAATCTTGTGATCAGTGTGAATCTGACTATTGCAACTCTTCTCATCATCTGAGCGTTGGATTTTTAAGTTTAATTGGATCTCTGCTAGCTATCTTGTGTACAAGAATCTGATCAACTTGTCTTTCAATGCTTTATTTACGTGACTATCAAGATCCCATACATTAGTGTTACTGTAATTTTTTTTATAATCGAATCTATACATAGCAGGATAAATCTAATTTACTCACGATGAAGGTTATATAAATGCATTCTAAAATTAATATTATGAAATTTGTAATGTTCGTTGCTTATATATAAAAAATAAATCTTAGAGCCAAACTAGATAAGATGGACGAATCAGCCCCCAACAACTTGGAAAAATTAGTTCGAAATAAGTCTGAAAACCTACGAAAGAAATTTTTGTATGAGTCGAACAAATTGACCAAGTCACTTTTTCAAAACTATGGGGAGAAGATTGTCCTATCTTATCTGGCTACGATTTTTAATTCGTAATATTAAAATACTGACCCTATTTAGAACAACAATGTGATCATATATATATATATATGTGTGTTATTATTAATCTATAAGATATTTCATTTCAAATAATGAATTATACAATACATGAAAAATTGCAAGGTAGATTGTAATTTTTGATACCTGATATAATTTTTTGGCATGAAAACATCTCCTTTAATTGGAATATTAAATTTACATTCAATAAAAAATTCTGATGAAATACTCTTGTGAAATCATTCCGTAAACTAGAATGCTTCGAAATTAGAATAACAACTGAGAAGTTCAAAAAGTACTGAATTTTCGATGTCATTCCAGCAAAATTTGTAAAAAGAAAACTAGATACAATTTAAATTTGTCCTGAAGTACGTTTAAAGTCAAACCACTTTCGAATTCTCACGATTGAATATTCTTTCTCTGATAACTTACTTTTAGTGAAAATATAAGTTTTCATAAAGTTTCATTTTAATAGTAACCTACATGTAGTTAAGGATTTTTATTTCCTACAGTATACAGAATTCTTTTTCTTGCAAAGTAACAAGTATCCAATCAATCTCCTATACTTACAGTTCATATATGTTAAATTGAAATGCAAACAATGAATTAAGCGCGTTACATTAATTATTGGTATAAATCGATCGACTCGTTTCCGATAATATTCGGTTACGCATTCACTTTCCCGGTCTTTGTCTTTATCGCAATGCGGCGATCGCTTTTAATTAGCAGATCTTTGCGACCTTCATTGCTTCGTAGAACGTAAGCCACGTACGCCGACGATATCCCACAAACCTCGATTACGGTAGAAAACCTCGCGGTTATTTGCGTTGTAATGAGAGTTCAGTGTCAAAGGTAACGGGCTGATAATAATCCTACACTTGCGCATTGACAGGTGTCCTATGCCAACTCTCGTGACTTGTATTCATGTTGCCTTGCCAATTCGCGATGTTTCTATGGTGTATGCAAATACCATGTGCCCGTGGATTGTTATAGAATTTTACATACTTGAGGTTGTTTCGAGTGTTTGCTTTCAAAGCGTTCCTTGCTACGCGTGTATCATTAAAAAATATGGTTTGCTTAAGTTTCTAATATCTACTTGCAGTTACGGCAACTATAAATTTGTGTTTGTTTGGTTACATTTAGTATCGATGCCTCTATAAATCTTAAAATTCTTTAGTTTTGATGAAAATAATATTTCGAAAAATAATAAAACTTTAGGAAACCATAATACTTACTTTTTAACCTTATATGCCTTATAATACTTACTTTTTTTAACACTTCTCGTAAAGTTTACAGAACAAGATAATTAACAATTTGTCTGATGTATGTTGTTGTAGCATTTCTCAATAACTGTTTTAATTATAACGTTTAATTCAGTGAAGATCAATTTCGAAGTTACATTAAAGTTACTTCTATCTTGTTATTTTACAAACGTTACAACTTATATTTTAAAAATACGAAAGTAACGAATTGTCAAAAAATTTATAATGTCACTCACGCCATGCAATAATTATCAATAAAGAACTCATAAGAATCAAATCTGACAGACTCGACATCTCAGCCTAAATTCTACTTTCAAGTATGATTCAATTGCTGACATCAAATAGAAAGTCAAAGTCCTGCGATTCATCAAGGTGTATAAACCGCGAACAAACGATATTCATAATTACTCGCTAGTCATATAAGTGATTAACGAGAGGCGGCGTATAAATGTGCAACGAATACACACATACGCCGCGCCGCCCGCCAGGTTCACCGACCTAGTTTGACTCGCGCGCGCTTGGGAGTTTGCATTCCAAGAACTGGTCTTCCTCTCACTGCATCTCACACAAGTGTGTGAGTATATACCGACAATGCGCATATGCAATGAACTTTTAAAGGTTTGTTTGCTCATTGAGCCGTTTTTGACCGGCTAATTATACGCGAATCTACTTTTCGAAAAGATTTGAAAGATACTGATTTAGCGGGCAGATTTAACTTGCAAATGAGACATTTATAGGCGTTTTGTTAAATCGTTTAAACGGTTTAGAAAATTATGCACCGTTCAATGACGAAGTCATCAATCCCAGACCTCGAAAATGCATTGTGAAAGTCGAGATTTATCATCGGATATAAGAAAAAACCAAGAAATGTCTTCGTGGCCTATCGACACCTGATATTTATCAAAGTTTTCCAGCCAGCCTTTGGGCTCATCGTAAATAAGCGTGAAGTAGATCGTCTTCAAGCCCGGCAAGCCAATGCATCAATCTCTCGAGAAATACACTAGGATACCATCTAGGAAATGCATCTTTGCAGTAAAGGCGACGAAGTGAGTGCGCTAGCGCAACTCACGTACATACACCGAAGAGGTCCCCATGCCCCCACCGACCTACATATGTACGGGTCTCCTATAAATGGCCTAGACAATTTCTAATCCCGCGTCAGTAAGCTTGCGGTTCTCACACAGTCAAGTTCACAATGATTTTTTGGTGAAATAAGAAATAACAAAATTGAAAAAAAACATGCAGCTCCAATGTGATGAAGACTACTGTCCGAGCATTATGTAATGACGTATGCTTTCACGTTTGCGTACAAATAAAAGTGAGAAATAATTATAACGAACGAAAGATGTATTTAAGGGAATTAAGTAGTGTAAGAAAAGTGTACGCTGTTGGTACTGTTTTCTTTTTATTTAATTGTGTTGGCACGTCGTTTTGTCAAATTGCTGACAATGATACTGTAACGACGCACGTGTTGTTAGAGCAGTGCAAGAAAGAATGTGCCATTCAGAAGAATTGGATGACCTGCGGCAGGTACAGGGCAATCAAATGGATTAATCATGCTGTGCAGAAAAAGGTAAGTTTGAGTTTATTTTGAGATTATTAGTTTACTTTTTAAAACAGGAATTTATTGGAAAAAATGTATTCGGTCAATTAACTATAAAAGTGTATACCTTGTAGTAGTGATTTATCAAATCAGAGTAATTATTTATCGAATCTCATTTTATTTATTATAATTAATTTAAAGAATTTACTGCTATAGAATTGTTTGAGTACATGAATAGTTACGTGTTTCGATGGAAAAGTTTTACATTGCCATTTCATTTCAACTATATAATTTCAAACAAGTAAACTACCCGGTAGAAGTTGTAATAAAAAATGTACAAATAAAAAATGTAAATGATCATAAATATCACATCATTATAAACTAGTCGATTATAAGTAATATTGTTAAAACATTTCGATGCCAAAAAAATTATAATTACCATCCTCTATTTAAGTAATTTTAATTGTAAACAGAAACAAATGTCACTTTTAAAATGTCCCTTTTCAAATCTAGAAATGAAACAAACACATGCGCACATACAGCCTAGTCAGTCACTGTCATTACACAGCGATTTGCCGAAGCAGTGACCCCACTTTTCGGTCACGCTATGAAATTACAATGTCGAGGCTGTCAGAGTTGATCTGGATGGTAATTGGATTCCGTAGTCTGTGACCTTAATGTTAATCTAATCACTACGTACAGAATCACTTGCAATAGATAGATATGCATTCGATCATTAATATATGTCTTGTAAATAAAACAAAAGTTTAATGATTATCGATTATTTACATGAAAACAAGCTTACTAATACGTCAAGAAAGTATCACACGCGATTAGGTCAAATATGTTAACACTAAAACCATATTTATCAAGAAATACTTTAAGATAATAGATGTAACACAAAGTCGTCGAAAAAAAAATTTTGGAACTCTTTAGAATAAGAATGGCAATACAATAAAAACAACGTTACAGGGAGTATATGTATGGACCGTTCAAGATCATCAGATACCAGCAATTGGGGGCGAACGGTTCCTACCGGAGTTACCTCGAAAAAAAAAGAGCAGTATAGGCGAAACATTGCACTTCGTTCGCGAAGCTGCCGAAGAAATGATTCCCGACGAGCATTCGTGTATACAATTGAACAACCAACAGGCGCTAGAACCCTTACTAATGGTATATGGTGCTGGACGATGATGAGATTGGACAAATTCGAAAAGCTAGAACTTTTGAAGGTTGGTGCATTCATTAAATTGTTCAACATTTGACAATAAGCTATTTACAGAAACGGTATGACCACAACTAATTAGAAGAAAATTCTAAAAGCACGACACTTATCAACACTTTGAATAGCGAATTTGAATGAAAAGTATTATTACCCTATTCACAATATATTTAAAAAATCATAATTAAATAAACTAACGATGCATTTAAAGTTACTTGAAATACATTATAATGACGGAGTATAGTTTAAATTACGGCTGACGATTGGTAATTAGTCTACTTAGTCAGTGAACATAGTGTGAAATCTACTGGATGGGGTGACAGAATACACAAGTGCTCATAGCGTGACAGTACCATTGTTTTGTTCAACCAGTATAGAAAGTTGAATAAGCTCAAATAGCGGTATTATTCAAATATACGCCCCGTACCTGAAAATCATTTTTGTTCTCATAGTACTTAGTAGTCATATTTTTTATGATTCTGCTGCAGTGGCTAAGGAAATAGAGATAATTTCAACGGCTTTAAGGAGCGACAAAGGCCTCTTTTTTACAATATAAACGTTGATACATTAATATCCGATATTAGAATATTGAAATTCGATACGACAAAAAAATGTCGTGTTTTTTGGAATTTAACTTTATTACTTGAATGGTATTGCTCTTAGACAAGGGAGAATATTTTTCTTTATGAATCAATATTTTCTAAATCTACGAAAAAACAATTGACTAATTTTACTTCAGTGAATCAGGGAAGCTTCCGTATATTCAAGAAAAAAGAAGAACCTAATTCTACCAATTCTTGTACTATTAAATCTGTTAAAGCTCAAACTGTTGCTTATACCGATATTCCTTGGAGTTCACTTTATTAAAAAGCTTTTAGTACTTGGATCACTTTTACTTCCATCTATATTGTCAACATTTAAAGATTTGTAAAATAGCTCAACAACCTTATTTTCATCACCATTATCCATGGGATCTACCGATTCATCTGCAGACTACCCAGGTGAGATGATGAAAAATTATGTTTAAATTTTTTATTTACCTAAATAATAAAAAATTCTTAAAAAAAAACCTTTCATTGTTTGATTTTCTAACAGCTTATGCTCATGAAGATGCATGGTATAACAGAAATGACATTGCTGGAGGCGGTGGCTACGGCAAATTACTATGGTAGTCCTAACTTTTATAACCCATTTTGCCTATTACTTCCAAAATTATTACAA